AGGACAGGAGGAGGTGGAACACGAGAGCGAAGAACAAGGTGGAACGGACCGTATGCACGGTAACGGGACCGATGACGCTCTTGGGACACAGCACGACTGAGGGGAGAACGACGAGTCCACTGGGACAAGGAAAGGGACTCAACAGCGGGTGTAGTAACCTGTAAGAAAACCTGAGGGAGCCGCCGGACACGGGAGAGTGGTGGTGCTGCGAGCAACTACAGGTCCCACAGAGGGGTCAGCCAAGGTGACAGTGACTGGAGTGCGCAGTGGTGTGAGGTCAGTACAGTCGCGAAAGAAACAGCTGGACGCTCCAGAGTCTAGGGTGAAGGAAAGCTGTGCAGTCTGTGAGGTCGCACCCGAACCAGCTACAAAGGCTGGTGCAAGACTAGTGGTAGCTGCAGCTCCTACACAAAGACCCTCAGAGGCGCCTGGACTGGAAACAACACACGCACCAAGACTGGAAACACATGTCTCTACTCGTGCAGCCGGGAACGGTCCTAGACCAGGCAGGTGAGACTCAACTGGTGCAGCAGTGCGCTGGCGAAGACGCGAGGGCCAGTGCGCTTTAATAGCGTGAGGACCAAAACGCTCACGGTGGAGGTCGTCGAGTCGACGGACGCAGAGTGGTCAGGACTCCAGCAGGTGGTGCCAGCACCAGGGCCTGTCAGGTGCCGGTACCCGCAGGGGCCGACGTCTCGCCCACTGCTAGCTGAGCCACTGCTGGGGGCTCCACCCTTTGGACACGCAGGTCCTCACTGCCGGGAGTGCTGCGGCTGAGAGTGCTGCGGCTGGCCCTGCTGCTGTAGAACTCTAGTACACGCCATGTGAGCCTATGCTGCTGCTGGTTCTGCTGGGGGCAGCCTAAGCTGCTGCTGGTGCGCTGGCGGCAGCCTAAATTGCTACTGGTGCGCTGGGGGCAGCCTATGCTGCTGCTGGTTCTGTTGGGGGTAGCCTAGGCTGTTGCTGGTGCGTTGGCGGTAGCCTAAGCTGCTGCTGGTTCAGCTGGGGGCAGCCTAAGCTGCTGCTGGTGCGCTGGGGGCAGCCTATGCTGCTACTCGTTTTGCTGGGGGGTAGTTTAAGTTGCTGCTGGTGCGCTGATGGCAGTGGAAGCTGCTGCTGGTGCTACTGGCGGCAGTCTAAGCTGCTGGTGGTGCTCCTGGCGGTAGTCTAGGCGGCTGGTGCTACTGGCGGCAGTGTAATCTGCTGGTGCTACTGGCGGCGGGTGTGGCAGCTCGTGGGGAGGCGGGTGTCAGGTGGGGCGGCTGTTAAGGCAGCGGGCGACGGGTGGGGAAGGTAAGGCGGCGGTTCTGTGCGGTTCTGTACGGTTCTGTGCGGTTTTGCGCGATTCTGCACGGTTCTGTGCGGTTCTGTGCTGTTCTGCGCGATTTTGCACGGTTCTGTGCGGTTCTGTAGTGGAGAGTACTGGGTGGGGCGGCTGATTCCGGGTGAGGTGATTGGAACAGGTGGGGCAGCAGGTTTCCAGGTGGGGCGGCAGTTTCCAGGTATGGGGCGGCGGTTTCAAGTCTGGGGCAGCGGTTTGCAATTCCTGGGGCGGCCGATTTCTGGTGTGGCGGCGGTTTTCTGCTCGTGGGGCGGCAGATCGCGGGTGAGGCGACGGCTAACAGGGTGGGCGGCGGGTAAAGCAGCGGGTGGGGCCGCGCCTAACGGGTGGGGCGGTGGTTACGACGGTGGGAAACGGGTGGGGCGACGGGTCGCTGGTGCGCGCGGCTGCTGCTGTGCGTGCGTGCGACTAACGACGGGGCCGCAGGGCCCGCTAGCGAAGGGGCCTCTGGGCCCACGAACGAAGGGCCGCGGGGCCCGCTAACGAAAGGCCGCGGGGCCCGCTAACGAAAGGCCGCGGGGCTCGTTAACTAACAGCCGCGACGGGTGACGGGAAAAAGATGGAAAACGGCCGCGATCGACCGGGGGAAACGGGCGACGGGCGATTGGCGACCGGGAGGGGGGGAGGGGGGGGGGTCTACGGGCGACGGGGCCTAAGGTAAGCGCGATACGGGCGGTCTAGGACGGGGCGCGACTAGGTGGGCCCATGATAGTCGAGTGATTTTTCCTAAGGGGGAAAATCTCGCTAGGGTTAACCTAGCTCTATACCATGTCACAATGTAAAATTGACTAAAACAGAAAGTACAAACAAGATATATGCAAAACCTAACCCTAGTGCAAGTACAAAATAACACAAGGGAGAACACCTAGACTAGAACCACACAAACTATAGAATTATAGTTTGACAAAAAACGTTCTTCATGTCGAGCTGCATCAGGTTGAGGTCGAGGACGGCAACGATGCTGAGGAAGATCCTCAGCGTGACGTAGCTCCTGCGAGTACGTCTCGTCGTAGTCGGCGCCGTACACCTGCGTGAAGCCCTTCACGACCAGCCTCGCTTTCTCGCGCTCGACGATGTCGTCGATGCGGTACTTGGTCGTCAACACCCACCGGTTCTTCATGATGTTCACCCCGCGTGGGCGTTTGACCAGCTCCCAAGTGCCCATGCCGATGAGGCTGCGGATCTCTTCTTCCATGGCGGCCTTCACCGCCTCACCCTTCCAGCTCGCCAGCGCCTCCTTCACCGTCATCGTGGCAATGTCCCAGCGGTGTTCGGGGTCGGCATGCACGTCGGGGTCGAGCTCCGGCAGTTCTTCATCCTCCTCGGCGTCGTCGTACAACAGGTCATCGCCGACCTCGTCGTACACCGTGGTGAAGGCAGCTGGCGGTAGGCAGGCGTGGAAGCTCAGCCGTTTTGGCGGCCGTCGAGCTCGCACTGTGCGTCGCAGCTCGGGCTTCGTGATCGGCACCTCCACCACGTTGTTGTCGGTGGACTCCTCACCCGCCGACCGCTCCCCTTCCTCGTCGACGTCCTCGTCGTCGACTAGCTGCTTCGACCCTTCGATCAGCTGCTCTCCTCCTGCTGACTTCGACAGCTCCCTTGTCGACCGCCCCGTCTACTGCTCCCCTATCGACTGCACCCCTGCTGCTGCCTCCTGTTCGACCGACTCCCCTGTCTTCTGCTCCCCTGTCGTCGACGGCTTCCTGTCCTGGTCGACGAGCTTGGCGCCTTGTCGACCGCCGGTGATGCCACTGGCCGGCACTACAGGCAACGCCTCAAGGCTCCCCTCATCGCCGGCGGCCGACACAGGCGTCGACGCAGGCCGATCTGCAACGGGGGAGGGAGGAGCAAGTACAGGGGGAGGTGGAAGAACCTCCACAACATCCTCATCAGCAGGCTTGTCGACTTCGGCGAGCAGTGGAACCGTCGCCGTCGAGGTGTCCGTCGACGGGTGTGCCTGCGTCCGCCCCGACGCCGGCCCATACTTCGCCTTCCACACCTCCAGCGACAGCGTCTCGTAGAAGATCACCTCGACCGACGTGACCACCTTGTTGTCAGTTAGGTCGAGCACCTCCCAGCCCTTGCTCTCCGGCGACACACCCAGGTGAAGCCCCAAGCGAGCTTTCGGCGCCAGCTTCCCACCGCGCTGCTGCTCGGGAATCATGAACTGCACCATGCAGCCCCACACCCGCGCCAACGTGAGGTCGGGCTTCTTCCCGGTCAGCAGCTGGTACGGCGTCGTCCCCGGCAGCGTCGTCGATCGCTCCAAGCAGTTGCGCACCCAGACAGCTTGTCATAGAGCGAGGTGCCACCAGTGGTGCTACACGCTCATGTGCAGCAGCATCGTCCGTACGGACTTGACGACCATGCGCATCTCCCGCTCAGCCATGCCGTTCTGCTGCGGAGTGTAGGGGCACGTCAAGTCATGGACGATGCCCTTCCCGTTGACGAAGTCGGTGAACGCCTTCCTGAGGAACTCCCCTCCTCGGTCAGAGCGGAGTATCAGCACCGTCTTCTTCGTCTGCCGCTCGACCAGCACCAGCCACTGTTGGAACTCCCACAGCACGTCGCTCTTCTTGGCGATCGGCATCACCCACACGAACCGAGTGTAGCGATCCTTCAGCAGCAGGAAGTACAAGCTGCCATCCTTGGCAGCCACCCGAAATGGCCCGCACAAGTCAATGTGCACGACAGCCAGCGCCTCCTCTGCGTCCGAGCCCTTGGCGGGGAAGGTGTGTCGCGCCAGCTTTCCTTCGACGCACGAGACACATGGCGGGTCTGCTCTGGTCGACACCGTGATGTCGAGCCCAGTAGCAACTTGATGCTTCGCTGAGCTCTTGATCGTGTCGACACCGACATGTGCGAGCCTGGCATGCAAACGGTCAGGGGTCGACTTCGTCGCCGAGACGATCGTCCGCAGAGCCACCACCTCGGTCAACGGCGACCGCGTCGAGCAAGGGCGAAGGTCGGTGCAGAGGACTCATCCGGTGTAGCGTGCTCGACCGAGCACCTCCCCGGTCGCGGCGACGAGCAGCATCTCGTCGCCGTCGCCCTGCAGCTGCACTCCGCTCTCCTTCAGTTGGCCAGCTAACAGCAGGTTCACCGGTACGCCCGGAACGTAGAGCACGTGGGGGATGAGGACCTGCTTCCCGGCCTCCCCTTGTAGAGCGACGGTTCCGCGACCCTCGACAGGCTGCAGCGCCCCGTTGAATCCACGCACGTGCTTCACTCCGTCGCTCGGCGCCATGTCGACAAAGACCGCCTTCGTCCCCATCAGGTGGTGGGAGCACCCGCTCTCGAGCAGCACCGCCATCGGGTTGGCCTGCACAGCTGCTGCCACCGCCTGGAAGTCCTCACCAGCCTCCGGCGCCAGCGAGACTGTCGGCTCCACCACACCGACCATCGAGCACGACGCCTCCCCGTCGCCCCGGCCCTTGCCGCTGGAGCTGTCGACGTCCTTCGTCGATGATGTCTTCTTCAACGTCTGCTTCTCCTTGCGCGGCTTTGCATCTCGACAGGGGCGACGACTGGTCGACCGGCCATGGCCTCCCTTAGTGTCGTCCTCGTCGCTGTCGTCGCGGTCGGGGCACTCGTAGGAAAGGTGGTCGGGGTCGTGGCAGATCCAGCACTCTCGCCGTCGACCACCACCTCCACGGCCCTAGTCCCACGTCGACCTCTTCTCGTCGACGTCCTTCGTCGACCGCCCACCTCCGCTACCACCTCCGCCCGGCTTCCCGTGCTGCCCTTGCTGCTGATTCAGCTTCGTCGGTGCAGCGTAGTTTGCGTGTGGAAGGAGCTCCGTGGGCTGTTCGGCCTCCTGCATGGCCTCGTCTTGAAGGATGTAGCTGGTGATGGAGTCCTCGTCGAGGGACTCACGCGTGCCGGGCACCGTCATCATCCTCTTCATGAGGTTGTAGCTGCGCGGCAGGCCCTTGACAATGTGAGTGATGTAGGACGCCGTCGAGTATTCGGCGCCCGCCATCCGCATCTCAGCCAGGATCCATCGAGCACGGTTGCAGTAGTCCGTCGCCGACTCTTGCTCGCCCATCCGAATGTGTGTCATCTTCTCCTCCAGCTGTCCAATGTACAGGTCGTCCCTGGCCTGGTACGTCGACAGGATGAAGTGCCATGCCTGGTGACCAGCATCCAGTCGCTCTCGACAGCTCCTGAGCGCCAGCTGCACCACCGGCGAGCAGCACCTCGAGATGACCATGAAGGTGAGCAAGTGAGCCGCACGGAACTCCCCGCGCAGCTCGACATCGTCCACTGGCGCAATTGGCACTGTGCCGTTGGCGAAGCCCTTCAGCCCGGCAACCTCCAGCTGAGGTTCTATCGACTCCCTCCAGGTGATGAGGTCCTGTCGACCTTGCAGCAGTGCAACGGTGATCCAGTCCGGCGAGAACTTGAAGTAGCCATACGCCGGTGCAATCCCGCCCGCCGTCACATGCGTCGTCGCCGAGAGCCCTCCACCGCTTCGTAGAGGAGAGCGACGTCGACCATCGACGTCGGCACGCGAGCTGCCTGAAGCCGCCGTCGATCGCTGCGCTCGCGCCTGAATCCCGTCGACGCCACCGTCGACCTTGATCACCCCTCTCTGCTTCGTGCCTTCGCTGCCGCTGACTCGTGCACCGCCGTCGACCTCGTCGTCGACGCCACCTTCGTTTCGTACCGGTCGAGGAGATGCAGGACGGGAAGGGTGTTCCGTCGCCCACTGCGACCGGATGCCCAACTCGACGATCAGCAAGGGGATCGTCCCGTACTCGCCATCCGCGTGGCGTTTCCTCGCATTAGCCAAGCGTGCCTCCAAGGTGTCCGCTACACCCGCATCAGCTACGGGGTCGACCATGGTGACTACCGCTGCTGCCGGCCTACGAACGACTTAGTAGGTGCAAAATTCGGCTCCTATCTGAAGGTAAATTGCGGGGCCTTCCACGCTCACCGCACCATGCGGAGAGTCTCTCGACAAAGGTAGTGAGCTAGACTACGGGGGGGTTGGCACGAACTACTAGGACTGATCGTAGCTTTGCTTGCGTTCCTTAGCACTTGCGTATTCACGGGAGAAGTTGGCAAGAGTTCACAATGACAAGAATGACTACATCAGGCACCTAGCAACCCTACAGCTAGCGTGGTCGACCACCAGCACTGCTTGGTCGACCGCCAGCACAGCTTGGTCGACCGCCTGCCAGCGTTACATAGAGGAGCCGCGCCAGCACTGCAGAAAGGCGACCTGCCAACACTGCAGGTCGACGGCGTGCCAACGCTGCAGCATTGCGGCTGTCCAGCGTTGCACCCATAGATGGCAGCAGTGCGCATGCTCGCAGGTGCACGCAGATGATTGGCCCGACTTGCATCGTTGTGCAT